GATTTAATATGCAATTATTTTATTAAAGCATTTTATGTTCTGTATTATTCAACAAAGACAAGCTATAAATCATTGTATAGTATGCCCAACACACTATTAGATAGATTAAACATAAATGTTCTTTTCTGTAGGCCAGGCCTATATGTTACGATGAAATTAGGTGATGCATGAATTGATATGAATGACATTTTTATTTAACAACTACAATCACAGTACATTGACTGATTTGTTGAACTTCCAACCTTGTAAGCATGTAATAATTATGTTTAAATAAGCCTGGTGTAAACATTAATATGAAAGTCATATTAATACCAATAATATTAGTACCAAATAATTTCACTAAACATTATGAAAAATTTATACTTTTTTAATTTAAAAAGCCTACAGGGAAAAAAACACCTGCATCACTTGAAACATTTAAAAATAACATGGAGAGAATAACTGATTATTATTATTATTCTCTCTCTGTTATTTATAAATTTTTTGTGGGTTTCATGCTGTCCGCTAAGGCATAGGACACACACAGGCTTTCCTCCTCACCAACGACATTAAACACCGTGTCTACACCAGACACGAGCGGCAAAATACAGTAGAAACCATTATAATCAGTGACATTGTGTACACTGGATGCGACACGACAAGACAAAACCCAACATTAAACTGATGCCTTGTTCTATTTATGTCGTACTGACAAAGTTAAAATGATTTGCAACGGTTGCTTTGTCGCGTCCAGTGTAGAGCTGTTGCGGCGCGACAACTGTAGCGTCCGGTATAGACACGGTGAGTGAAGCCGAGAGCAAGATATGCCTCGTCATATTTTCTGCATTTAGCTTGTGAATGACCAGCACCTGCCTGGGTCTGTGCGACTTCATCTATGGCTTTTCTCTTCGCTTTCACTAACCGATCCATCTCCCATTCTAAGTTACGTCCTGTTTATCGTTTTATTTCTTTTCTTTTTCTGCTGATGGCCCGCGCTCGACTTGAAGCAGCGCTGCTTAGACCGATGGGTGTGTCATCAAAGTACTACGAGAGCTATAAGAGTCTGCGTCTGCGCTGGACGTCTCCTTATGCTTTCTCTCGCCGTACTTTGATGTCATACACTGATCGATCTTCAAGTCGAACACACCTCTTTACTCTCGCGTGTCACGTGACCGTGTAATCGCAGCCTCTGCGATTGAAAAATCGCGTTATTTCATACTGCGATATTATCGCAAATGCAATTAATCGTTCATCCCTTTATAGGAGCAACAGCCATGTGGGCAGTGCTGTGTCATATGCCATAGCTGTGCACAAGGTCACAGCTCCAGACTTATTTGTTCATTAATGACGTCATCAGCGACTAGTCGACTTCGACTCGACTTTCATCACATAAAAAATCAGAAGTCATTCAACACCTAGAGGTGAGCCACTGACTGCTCGACGGTGGGAGGGTTAGAGAGCCCAAGCCTTTCCATTTCACTCACATCGAGCAACGAGTATCCCTTGACGGGCACACGATGAGAAAAGGGTTTGTCCCACGATCGCTTCATCTCTGCTATACACGCCAGCAAAGTGGGAAACAGTTGTTAATGTCATCCTCTTCATCATCCGGCTCATCTCGGAGGAGGCGAGCTAACATCTCCTCATCCTCCTCCTCGTCTCCATCCACCTTCCGCAAGCAACTGCTGGTCGAAAAGCGGCGTAAACTCAGGGGATTTTGAATCCATAATATCCCCCCACGAAGAAAGATCCTGTGGGGGAGAGGGTTGGACCCCCTTTGTCGAAGGAGGGACAGAAGATAGAACCGGATCGTTTTTAGAAGATGCAGCCTTCTTTTCAAGATCCTGGCCGGCATTTCACAACTGTATGCGCAACTCTCCGCATCCGCCAGCGCGGCCTGAGCGTGCATAACACCCATGCACGCAATACACATCAGATGCGTATTCCTGCCCGAGATCATAAATCCACAAGCTGCCGGACAAGAGCGCGAAGGGGCATCCTTCCCTTTCTCCACTGCGACCTTGGACCCCAACATGGTGAGTAGAATGTACTGTAATTTTAGCTCGCCCTTAACGCGTTAGCTAGAAAAAATTCAGTAACGAGCAGAGAATCCACAACAGATTTTAACTGCACTACGTTCGGCAACGTCTACCTTGACGGTACGTTTGTGAACTGAAGCAGCGCAGAACAGGTGCTGAAGGAAAGTCTTCACGGGGAAGAGAACAAGAATGCCGTTTTTCGGGGTTCACAGCCATATACAGGTGCATCTCAATAAATTAGAATGTCATGGAAAAGTTCATTTATTTCAGTAATTCAACTCAAATTGTGAAACTCGTGTATTAAATAAATTCAATGCACACAGACTGAAGTAGTTTAAGTCTTTAGTTCTTTTAATTGTGATGATTTTGGCTCACATTTAACAAAAACCCACCAATTCACTATCTCAACAAATTAGAATACTTCATAAGACCAATAAAAAAAACATTTTTAGTGAATCGTTGGCCTTCTGGAAAGGATGTTCAACTGTGTGCACTGAATTTATTTAATACACGAGTTTCACAATTTGAGTTGAATTACTGAAATAAATGAACTTTTCCACAACATTCTAATTTATTGAGATACACCTGTATATAGGTAGGGGGTGGGCTCCTTGTCATAGCTGTAATTGGTCCGTCCTTCGGACAGACGTGGTGTAATTGGTGCTTCCATAGTCTATCACGCCTAGGGGCATTTCACATAGTGAGATACAGAGCGAAATCTTATTTGAAAGAGAACAGCGTTTTCTTTTGTACATAAAGACTTTATACAGTTATTTTATAAGAACAGGGAAAGCATTGGAAATCTGTAAACCAGCATATTGTGTTCTTATTAAGCAAGCGATCAGACGAGCCAAAGAAAACCCCCGACAGCATTTCACATTAACAACGTTGATTTTAAAATTAAATTACAGTCAATAGCCACTCTCAAACCTCAAAAATCAAATCTGGATCTGCACAGAAACAAATTCCACTGTTTTAAATCTGCTTTTTAATCATCTTCATGATGACGAATGCTTTTTTAAACCATAATTTCGAGACAACGCTACACTGCAACATCACATGAGAGTACCTGCAATAGAGATGGTTGTCAAATTACTATTGTGTGTGTGTGTGTGTGTCTACTAGGGTTGTGACGGTGAGGAGATTTTCCCACCGGTTAAACGACGTGTGACAACACCAGTAATACTGGTATTACCGGGGGGTGGGGTTCGTTGGGTTTTCCCTCTTTTCCTCATTTTCCTTTGTTTTTAAATTGCATTTTACTTTCACTTTTGAATTAGCGGCAATTGGACACCATCACGGCCTCTGGCATCGTCCGCTTCAATTGCTTGAATGGACAACAACAAAACAGCACAACAATAAACTCACTTATATCAAACATGAACTTCTGTTAACAAACCGAATACCGACTTTCGCAGCAAGCCTAGTGTCAACTAGTATTCATGGTGGTTTTATTTTTTTTCAAATTCTGTTTACATTTTTCTGGACTCCGTTTTAATGGTTAAATTTAAAAACATGAATACAAAACATGGTTAATCAATTGAAATCATGAAACTTACACACTTAACAGCAATTTATAAAAATGTTATAGAAAATACATTTTTAAGTCTCAAATTTAGTTTTATTTTAACCAAATTTTTTTCCATTAATTTTATGGATTCCATTTGAATGGTTTCATTAAATTTTCATAATCAAAAGCATCTCTAATTAACTGATTTTATTTTTTTTATTTTAAAAATTTCTTCTTTTTTTAGAAATACTGTAGTGTATTTACATTGTTCTGGTAAATAAACTCGGGTAAATAATTTTTCTGGTAAATATTCCTAAAAGAATAAAGTTTTAATAATAATTGTATAATTATTAGTAGTAATAGTACTTTCATTACATTAAGTAATATATTTCTGTCACAGTTTCTTCAAGTCAAACCAAACATTTATTTTGACAGGTTGCTGTGAAGACCTTTAAATTTCTGTTTGTATATGCTCGTTCAGCAGGGAGATGGTGCTGTCACAGGTGCATGGTGGGGGCTTGTAGTCCGTAATGGTCTGTATCCCCTGCCACAGGCTCCGAGTGTCTCTGCTGTCGCTGAAACGATGGGCTATCCTCGTTTTGCAAACTGCAAACTCACAGGAAATGGACTTCCGCTGTGGGCAAGATGCAGCAGTGGGGGTCGGTGATGGAGTGGGCCTCCGGAGCAGACCGAGATCCCGCAGCTCTTCGGCGTGCGCAGTTTAACTCTAAAAATGTGGCTCTGCCGACATCGAGCAGAAATATATGATAATATGATATGATATGATATGATGATAGTTTTTCCCAAATAAAAGAGTAAAAGGCTCATGAAGTGTCTCAGAGCAGTTCACGAGTTCGTTCTGCTGATAATAAAGCGGGATAAATGGTGTGCGTATATGGCGTGCTGTCCGGGGAGAGGGTATTTTGCCCGGACCCATTGGGCCCTAATTATGATGCTTCAGATTCTAGAGAGCATTTAATTGGACAGAAATTCTGATGAGAAGCTCAAGTGCAGAATCTTGCCATTTCGAATCAATTAGATCCTCAACAGATCTCAATTTAGCATAAGGTTCCACAGGCATCCTAGCAGAATACCCACCGGTGTAGCACAACATATGAATGTGTTTAACAACGTTTGACACCCAGGAAATATCCAAGGACTTTTTGTCTTAATTTTGACATCAACATTACTTGAACTTTATTTGACTCAAGCATCTAAATACTTCTTGTGGCCCTTGTATGTATTTCTCACCCCGAGAAACCTCAACAGCTCTACTTGGACTGGTTTCTGATATGGCTCAGGTCTGCACTCGGTGTAGATATAAGGGATTTTTTGCCCATTTTAGCATTCACACCAAGAACTTTTTCCTGTTGATGTGTCTTTCAAAAAACCTTACAAGCATCAATAATAGTGATTGCACGAGTAGCAGTATGCAATCAGCTTGAGGCAAATATGTGAAATGTGTTTCTTACCTATTTCCACATCTTCATCTCCATCTGCCTTAAAGATGTAAACTTTAATGACCTCAGAGCTGAACTCATCCTCTTTGGAGCCGTCGTCGTCTTGGACCATATCTGCACTGATCTTTAAAGGCGTGCCTCCAATGTCTAGCTTTTCCCCGACCTCATCCACTGCAAAGAAGCCACACATCAAACATTGCTGCGGATCCGATCAATCCATCCATCAATCCGAGTAACTGCAAACTCACGGGAAATCATGAGGTAGTCCTCCGAAGTGCTCTTCACATCCTCCTCCTCATCGTCCGCTTTAATGCTGACGTCGGATGGCATGGTGTCGTGCGTCTCCGTGTCCATCACCATGACCTCTGCGGACACCAGCTCATGGTCCAGCGGGCTCTGATCGTGAGGCGACATGAGCTCAGCCACAAACACCTGATCGGGCACAGTCTCTACGATCAGGTCAGCCGTGCCTTCCAGAGCCTCTTGGATGGCCACCTCGGCCCCCAGGATGGACTCGGCCATGATCACGCCCTCTGTGGTGATGACGTCCTCGTGACAGATGTCAGGCCCTTCCACCACCTCAGCCTCCAGGCCAGTCTCCAACATGATACCCTCGTCTGTCACCACATCGGACACCATCACGGCCTCTGGCACCGACACCACAATGTGCTCGCCGTCAATGTGGGCCATGCCTCCCATCCCTGCAACTGCACAAAGGGCTGCATCAAAATAAATGTCTGCATGTACATGAGACTTGCAAAGTCTTTATTGGGGTATTTTTTCCATTAGAGCTTTAGTTCACCTTAAAAAGGAAAGTTATGTCATAATTGACTCACACTTGTGTCGTTCCAAACCCATAAGATCTTAAATGAAGATATTTTTAATGAAAGCCGAGAGATTTCTGAAAGTAAAGGTAACCAAATCTTTAAAGCTGCAGTATGTAATATTGACAGCTAGTGGTTGAAATCCCTCTAAAACGGCACAACTGTACAGTAAAAAATAATAAAAAATAAAGTGAGTGATGTTACATTTGTTTAAAAGAAAAACAACAACATTATGTTACAATATCACATTTTACTGTCTGATTATGTAATCTATTTGGAGAGAAAAAGTATTGTTGGTCGCACACTCCAAATCCCGAGCAGTTATTGACACACAGGGTGACATGATAATGCCGTGCCATGCAAAGGAGCGGTAAAAACCTGATCGATCTGTGTATTTATTTATTTTTCTGGTGCAGGCGCCACGTGCCGCCGAGCGGTTGCACATGCCTAAATCCGCCACTGCTCCCACCCCTCCTCCTCAGACTTGACGCTTCCTCGGGTTGCCAGATTGAAAACACACAACATGAACGAGCTTTACCTTGTAAGTTTATGAGTTGATTTTTCCACATTTTAATATGCCTTTGTTCATAGGGATTTTTAGATGGACACCGAGGCGTTTCAGGACGGGTAGAATCTGCGATCTCTAAACCAGTTTGTTTGCGGACTTCCATGGCTGCAGTACACTGTGTTTTCCACTGGCAACCCAGTGCATTGAATCACTATTGGGTGAACTGGCAGTGGGCGGAGTCACACAGACCAAAACAAAAACAGACAAACAGACACACATTTCAAAGCAGAATAAATGGCTGTAGTGTTGTGTTTTAGAGAAACAAGTATGTGCATTTAGCATGTTTCCTAAATATCTGCAAACATATTATGGTATTTTTATGCCTTAGTGCAGTCAAAAAATTACATACAGCACCTTTAATGACCCCAAAAAATCATACAGGTGTCATAAAATGAGTCCATACGAACTGAGCCGATTTATCCAAGACTTGTGAAGAAACACGATAGCTTTATAGGATGAACAGATTTGGTTACCTGGGGCGGGTACCATGAAGCCGGAATAGCTGCTAGCCAGGTAAGTTTCAGTTTAGTTTGCACCAATCCTGGGTTTTAGGTACCATGAAAGTGGCTTGGCTTTTAGCGGCGTTCATTGCCATAGTAACTTACACTCCACAGCTAACCCTGCTCCAGGGCAGGTCATTTTCTGGGTAAGACATCTCAAACTGAAATTGAACCAATCAGATGTGAGCAAAGTGACACATCTCTGACACAAGTCACTCCCCCAGTTTCTCGTCTTCCAAATTAAAGGTCACTATAAAGTAAACAAAACAAAAAAAGGTCCCACTTTATATTAAGTGGCCTTAACTACTATGTACTTCCATTTAAATTGATAATTCGGTAAAATGCACTTGTGTACATGCATGTTTTTACATTATACTTTTATTTTAAAAATACCTGCATGTAATTACGTCTGTAATTAATTTCTGTAATTACATTTATAATTACACTGTTGACCCACCCTTAAACCTACCCATACCACCAAACCTGTCCCTAACCTTACCCGTTTCCCACTTCAATAGCTGCAAAAGAGTTTTTGCAATACAATATGAACACAGTAAGTACACTGTACTTATTTTATGTAAGTATATATTAGTTATTGCCACTTAATATAAAGTGGGACCAAAAAATAATAATAAATACAAATTTCCAATAAAACTGTCTGGCTTTAATGATAATCACTTAGAATTGTTTTATATGATTTATATTGTTATTAATCTATTACACACATGCAATTTTAGTTTAATGATTATTATTAAGCATTTATTTTAAACGAATATTAATATATGCAGGTCATATGTAATATACATAAGCTGTAGAATCAATAGATAACACTTTATAAATGACTACATGTGACCTAACATGTTCGAGTCTCTATCACTATATATTATCAACTCTATAAAGTTTCACTTGTGACTGCACTGATACAGCAAGATCATTTCTTTTTTTTTTGTGCTCTTTCATGAACAAGTGCTTTCTTCAGTGCAAATGCATCTAAATTCCTCATTCTTCAATGTCTTAACCTTCAGAAAGAGAGTTATGAATCTCGCTGGCTCTCTCGCGAGAAGTGAATCACACTTGCTCTGTGTCGCAAGGCGTGTGATTGGCTGTTAACCGCTGATGTCACACATTCGTGAGCACATGCTCCATAAACTCAGGATCAAAGCCAGAGTTGACAGAGAACGCTGATGATCAGCATCATGGAACCATCAAAGCCGGATTGGAGTGGTTTGGTTTCGTCAAACCTGAAACTAGTCCTGTAAATCTGAATTTGAACTACCATCACGGTACAGGCCCCTGGATTTGAATGGAGACAGAAACATCTCGGGCTGAGATGCAAACTCATCAGCAGTGATAAACACTATTATTATAACTCTACATTAAAATCACTTTAATGAAGATCATTTCTCATTTTCAAAACATGTCACGCTTAAGTGGAAGATTTCTGTCACCTGGTGGAAAACAAACACTTTGACCTGAAATTACCACTATAACCAGTAGATGGCAGCAGAGGATCACTCATTCTCTCATTTGCCATTTCCACTCGCTAATTTAGTTCTTTTCACATGTTTTGATTTTGGATCTATTATAAAATGACTATTGTAACGCATTCTAGTCAATCATAGCAAATCTTCATCGATCATAGCAATTTCAGAAGTGACTCACAGAGCAATTTAGCGGATATAAAATGTGTTTGTTATTAAGATCATTGTCAACCAGAACACACACACACACACACAGTCGCCTCTGAGTGTGTACAGAATTGAGTTGGCACTACTGGTACCGTAATCCCCCTCCCATTGTTAAAACTCATCAGATCTACACAAATCACATAAATCTTGGATTCAAAACGGTGAATTTAGCCGAAAGGTGACAAGTTTGCATTCCTGTCAGGTTTCATTAAAAATACATTGTGTTATGAAAGACTTATTAGTTTGGAACGACATTTTTGGCTGAGCTAATCCTTAAAGTGACGACCAATATGTGTGCCTATGTCCACACAATGAGAGCAAAATCAGATGTACATAAAATTGCTGAAATCAAATGAACTATTTATTCACATACATCAAAATACAAACTGCATTGTCCATTGGCAGCCATTTGAAGTTGAAAAACTTTCATTATAAAAAAACAAAAAAAAACTAAATCATATTTAATGTGATAACCTAAAACTGAGCAAATATCGACTAATTTATTGACTCACTATTTCAGTGACGTTCCTTACCAAAATCTGGCATTATCATTGTATGGGGCATTTTTAAATCCTTGTGAAGCTCCAGGATCCCTCCACCTTGATCCATTATCTGTGACTGTTCCACAACACTGTAAAAAAAAGACAAATAATTCAAATAAATGAAGGACTGCTGTGTGAGGAATGTGGTGAAAGTATTTGATATAAATAAAATCCATCACACTGATTTAATATGAACACTCATTAAACAATCCGTTAATAATCAATCATATTTATTTCTCTTCCATTCAAATTACAGGCATGTGGCTACGAGAGCAAACGCTTGTATTGCTATTTAACAAACCTTCACATTTGACAGTAGTTCCCTTCATGTAGAAGCATCGCAAACATTAAGCAAATCTGTGAATCTGGCATCTGGGAGGAAAGTGTCTGAAAGAAACGGAGACGTTATGTTTATGTAGAGACTACCTTAGTGAGATTCTCGCTTGTTTCCAAATATAAAAAATTAAATCCTAAAACACAGATCAATGCATACAAACAAGCAGCAAAAGTGAACTGTAGTTTATGAATGTATACATACAAGTGTGATACAGATGGTCATTTATAACGTTCATGTCACAATGAAATCTTACCATTACAATAATGCACTTTTAATAAACGTTATGTATAAATGCAGTAAAATAACAACTACATTAATAAGAGTAAGGCGGTTGGTCATAATGATATATGGTTAATACTTGAGCAATAACAACTTGAGAAATATAACAATACTATAAAGGGGATTTAAATAAGTTTAGAGTCCCTGAAAAGGCGAACTGTAACGTAATATTTTTCAAAAAAATGTGTACAGTCTGAGAAAGTGGTGGAGTCGCTGTCAGAGTGATTGTGATTATGTAAACTAGTCAAAGCACACCGGTGGCGAACTTGTAAACCCTACTACGACAAAGGCTCGACTCATGAATATTAATTACGTTACGTGCCCTTACGAACCACGAAACGTTAGCACGACCTTATTAATATTCAAGAAGTCAGCCTTCGCCATAGTGGGCTTCGTAACTGAGCTTATAACCGGTCCGTGCGTGACTGAGTTCATCGAAACAAATTTACTATCGTTGAATCGACTCAATACCATTTAAAACATATACAAAATACAATATCACGTTGAAAAATCCACTTTAATATAGCCGAAGAAATCGGCTGATACGCAGTTATAGGCTTGCGCAAATGCACCATCTTGCCCTCCGCCATTACACGACATGCTAAACGGCTAATAGCATTAGCTAACGAATATATCAGCACGTAAATGAGTACAACACAACAACAGCGCGAAGCCCAGACGCATGGTCTGCATTTACTTCGGACAGGACTGATTTTTGCGCCAAAGGCGCCTCATGCTCGCTGTAGAGACTCGCTTTACGCGTGTTCCCGCTAGCTGCGGCGCACACTGGGCGCTTCCTCGCGCTTGAGCGCAACACAAGGCTCAGCCAGGCCCACGCAGGCCGACTGGGCCGACGGCGAGCATTTCACAGACACGCCGCACAAAACCAAAAGGCTTTACCTACTCCGGGACAGCCTTCGGAGCGTTGAAGAGTTTCGGATCCCCTCGAATCTGTCGTAATTTATTATTGTTAATTTTCCAACGGTAGCGCTACTGCGGCCTGTACATTGAGGATCCCCGAACGCTCTTTTCCAGGCCTGAGCCAATCACGGCCCTCGATTCGCTGCCTCAGCCAATCAGACTACGCGTTCCAAAGACTCAGCCAATCAGAATGTCCGTTGACAACAGCGGAGGGAGGGGCAGAGCGAACGCGCGGCACGCTTTACGTCACCTCATAAGATAACATGTTATGAATGAAAGTTGCACGTTCAAACAAAACACATGCTGTATACTGCAAATGTATTTTGGCTAGTTTTGATACATAATAAAGCAGTTTCTAATGTGTTGCTGTAACTTGCCAAGCAAAGGAGGAACCCTGCAATGAATAAAACGACTGGTTTATTGCTGAAATTGATTTATTGATTTTCTGAGGCACTCCATTATCATTGCATACTCAGAGATTTCAACTTTTACCGGCTTAGTGAATATTTAACCCTAGACTACACAGGCATCAAAATGCATATTCAAACTTCCAGATGGAGTGAAAGTGTAGTAGCTTCACCTTCAAGCACTCTGACTTAAGGAGGAACAGTGTTGCAGTAGTAATGCACCTTGGCACATTGCTGTGATCTCAATTCAAATATAAAAATTAAAAGTATTTTCTTCTCCTCCGTGGTCATTTTTCATGAAAACTATTTTCAATATTGCTGTGTTTTGTCCTAACGATACAAAACAGACAAACGTCTTGCTTTACAGAATACGATTCCTTCATCAGATTAAAAAAAATCTCACATTTTTTCACAAATAAAAATCATATATCCTTCATTTCTAAAAATAGATAAACATGCAAAATCAACAGCGGGTTACACCACAGCATTTAGGAATTAAATTCCACACGTTTCACAAAAACTAATTTACAGGACATCAAACCTTTTTCATTATTCAAGCTCTCATATTTTTTCCATACATCCCCCATTCTCAAGAAAATAAAAGTATATTGATATTTGAAAATCAAGCAAAGGTAACAATTTGTTGTAGTCTCTGAATGCAAACAGTGTCTGATCCATTGTGGATTCGATCAAACTCTTGTTTTAGGGACTCTGTGCTGATTTTTCTCTGCCATGTCATTAGCGGCTGGAAAACCGCCGCAGCTCTCAGGGCTTCAGTAACAACCATCTTTCCAGGATTCATCAGCGATAGGAGCGCACGGTTTGGTCATTCCCAGAGATCTGCTATGGAGGAAAACAACCTCAATTCCAAAGAGCTTTCACAATGGCTATGACAGCAGTGTATTTGGCTGATCTTGACTCACCTCCTGGGTGTCTGTGGAAGTCTGCCTCTGGAGGAAGGTGAAGAGGGTGTCATGCCTCTTCCTGGAGTCTGACGGGCGACAGCAGCAGAGTATGACGCCCCATTGTTGGGACCGGGCGACTGCACCCTCCTCATCCCTCCCTGGGCACTCGCTGGCCCTTTGGCGTGCTGTCGCACAGCAGACATAGAGCTGACGGGACTCAGGGCTTTCATGGGAGCCCGCAGATAGAGAGGGGACTGGCTGTCACCCCTCATCCTCGCAGATGATACACCTACAATAGCAGCCAATCACAAACACTCCTGTAAACCCCCATCAATATTGAAAATATACAGGAGGATGCATTTATCCAACAGTCTAAATTTTACAAAAAGTGTAAGAAAGGCTTTCAGTTTCCAAAATGATTTATAAAATGTCCTTATGCATAAAAAAATATTCCTGAATGCATCCCTGTTTTGCAGTTGCTTTTTTTTGCAATTTATCTTAAATTTGAGCGCATACATCTACAGAACGCCCACAAAATCCCTTACGGTTCAGAAGAACAGCACTGGACGCTAGGCATGGTCAACATGTGTGACCCTGCCTGTGAAAACCAAGCTAAAGTCATGTTTTTAGTGTGTGATTTACTGTTTTCTACATACAATCATCCTTCATAAAGATGTAGAACATTCTGAGGAAATCTAACCTTTATATCTTTAATATTGACTGAGTAAGGCCATGTCAAAAAATTGAAATCATAGTGAAATTAATGGTTGAAATCAAACTTTGATGCTTGTTATCTCCTAATTAGATTGAGACTTTAGCCTGGATTTCACAGAGAGGGTCACGTGTGTGAGAGATATTCCAGGAATCCATCAATATAATGAACTAATTCTTCAGTGGCGTAATCATGACAAAGCAGTTAATATGATGCTCATTTGTGCCTTTAAAGGAACACTCCACTATTTTTGAAAATAGGCTCATTTTCCAACTCCCCTAGAGTTAAACAGTTGAGTTTTACCGTTTTTGAATCCATTCAGCCGATCTCCAGGTCTGGCGGTAGCACTTTTAGCTGTAGCTTAGCATAGATCATTGAATCTGATTAGACCATTAGCATCTCGCTCAAAAATGACCAAATAGTTTCTATATTTTTCCTATTTAAAACTTGACTCTTCTGTAGTTACATCATGTACTAAGACCGACGGAAAATGAAAAGTTATGATTTTCTTGGCCGATATGGCTAGAAACTATACTCTCATTCTGGCGTAATAATCAAGGAACTTTGCTGCTGTACCATGGGTGCAGCAGGCGCACTAATATTACGCAGCGCCTGAAAATAGGCTAACTTCTGTCAACATAACCAACGTGACCACCTGCTTGCACAGGGAGCGTGCTGGGGACTATTTTGCTGAGGCGCTGCGTCATATCATCGAGTCAAGTTTTAAATAGGAAAAATATAGAAACTCTTTGGTCATTTTTGAGCAAGATGCTAACGGTCTAATCAGATTCAATAATCTATGCTAAGCTACAGCTAAAAGTGCTACCGCCAGACCCGGAGATCAGCTGAATGGATTCGAAAACGGTAAAACTCAAATGTTTAACTCTAGGGGAGTTGGAAAATGAGCCTATTTTCAAAAATTGTGGAGTGTTCCTTTAATAAATGCATATTGAACATAATTCTCTATATTGACATTTCAATAATGTTGCATTATTTTAATTTACTGGTATGAGTGCAAAAAGTTTGTGTGCATGCTCTTCAGTTGGCATTCACAGAACATTTTCACATCAGTTTTTCCCTGAATAAATCCTGATTTGTTCCTCACTTTTCAAACTTTTCAAATCAAATCCGATCGTATGTGCTTTTTATAAACGAGGCCCCTGGATCTCACAGAGAAACACCAAGCTGGAGAATAGATTCGAAAACGGTAAAACTCAAATGTTTAACTCTAGGGGAGTTGGAAAATGAGCCTATTTTCAAAAATTGTGGAGTGTTCCTTTAATAAATGCATATTGAACATAATTCTCTATATTGACATTTCAATAATGTTGCATTATTTTAATTTACTGGTATGAGTGCAAAAAGTTTGTGTGCATGCTCTTCAGTTGGCATTCACAGAACATTTTCACATCAGTTTTTCCCTGAATAAATCCTGATTTGTTCCTCACTTTTGACATAGGATGGAATTTAGTATCAAATCCGATCGTATGTGCTTTTTATAAACGAGGCCCCTGGATCTCACAGAGAAACACCAAGCTGGAGAATGTCTTGGTTGAGGCGAAACGCTCAGGAAAAGCTGGATGCCATCTGATGAACAAGCTTCTGTCCAAGGAAACCGTCTCAAAGCGAGTGACTGAAGAAGAAGACACTCCCTGAGAAAAACCTCCAGGAAAGACTGGTGTGTGTAAAAGATCTTATTCACCGCTCTCACAACAGGGCACTCAATCAGGCTGGGAAACACAAGACGCAGCGGCCCCAGGATATCCAGGATGAAAGACTCAACACTAGATGGACTCTTTTAGGGTGCAGTGAGGAGATCAGAGCCTAAATACTGTGTACAGTAACACTGCATGCAGTCATGTTGTTTGGTTCTAAATTCCCAAAGGACACAAGTTGGTTGTAGGCCGAAACTAACCCACATAACCATTAGTAATTAGATGAAATCAAACTACAACTCACTGGGCAGCGGCCAAGCTGTTGTTGCGTGCTGCAGGGATGACGCATTTTTGCAAAAACCTGGAAATGAGTTCAGTATTTTAGCACTTGCGGTCCCATCGTCCTGAATTCAGTGGGTTTTTGAATGTTAAAGGTCTGTGGTGAACACAAGCTCAAGATGTTTTTGCATTTTATTTTATGGCATGAAGGTACATCAGTAACACCCTTTTTTTTTTTACACAAATGTATGCTAGTGTACACACATAAAAAAATTAAGTATGCTTAATGCTGGTGACACTAAAGTCTTGTGACCGTGGTGTTCGTTTATAGCCTACATTTAGCATTTTTACTTCCGGCAGTTGTACTTAGGCTACTAAATTCATAAAAGTTGTGCTCATTTTTGAAGATTATGATGAACGTGTGTGAATTAGAAACTCTCTCACAGTGCTTATTTTCTGCAATAATCCAGAAGCCAATGGAAAAATCCTTTCGGGTTTTTTTTTGTTTTGTTTTTTTGAGTCGAGGGAACCAGGATGATGCTAGTCTAAGTCTCACACATCACAGGACGGTTTGCTGAATGACTGATGCATAAGGAACACAAAATGGGAAATGATTTCGAAGTCATCATCTGGTTGGTTGAATTCTACAGGATTTCTGGGATACGTGTGCGTCGCTTTCTTTAACAGTCCGACTTGAAACAAAGCCAAACCCCTTCACAGAAGAAGAAAGCCATCATGTTTACGAATCTGACAATGAGAGCTGATCAGGTTTAACTAGGGCTGGACAATAATTCAATATCAATATGTATCGCGATATAATTATTTTCAATAACGGTGATTTGATTTTTAAACACCAAAGATCCAAAGATCAGCATTTATCTGAAATAAAATGTTTTTGTAACATTATACACTATACCATTCAAAAGCTTGGAGTCAGTATGATTTCTTTTTCTGGAAAGAAATTATAGAAATTAATAGTTTTATTTAGTAAGGATGCTTTAAATTGATAAAGTGATGATAAAGACATTTATAATGTTACAAA